CCAACATGCTTGGTTCGCGAGTGAAGCACCGGATTTTGGGTTATGGCGATCGCACTAGTATTATCACATAAAATGTTAACATTTTCGCACTTAATCCCATAGTCCAATAATTGTTTGCTTCATCCACAAGATTTGTGCGCAACAACTCCCAGCTGCAATATATTCGGCTTCGGCAGTGCTCGTAGCTATGGAGTTTTGCGTTTTGCTGAACCAAGAGACCAATCTTCCCCCTAAGAACTGGCATGATGAGTTTAGGAACGAGTGTTTCATTCAATTACCGTAACAAACTGATAAGGTTACAAGATATACTACTAGTAAATAGATCCTACACAGATGGCTAAGGACAAGGTCAATATAACAATTATTGACTTATACTAATAATATATAATATATGCTAATACTCCCCCTCAAGCACAAGGTTGTAACGGAATAACATTGAGCTTGGTACGTAGATCCCCGAAACGTTGCGCAGCTAGCGGTTTGGTGAAGATATCAGCCAGCTGGTCTTTCGTCGAGACAAAATTGACTTTAAAATCCCCGGAGGATACTTTATCACGTACAAAGTGATAATCCACCTCAACATGCTTGGTCCTTGCATGAAAAACTGGGTTAGCGCAGAGATAGGTGGCGCCTAGATTGTCACACCAGAGGGTGGCCGGAGTCTCTGAGTGTAACCGGAGCTCACGTAGTAGGGACACTACCCAGGTTACCTCTGCCGAGACGTCCGCAAGGCCTTTGTACTCGGCTTCAGTTGACGACCTGGCTACAGTGCGTTGCTTCCGAGATACCCAAGAAACAAGGTTGGTCCCAAGGAAAACTGCATAACCACTTGTAGACTTTCGATCAACCGGACAGCCTGCCCAATCCGAGTCTGAGAAAGCATGTATGTCGGAGGATGGTGAAGGAGATAGACGCAATCCAAGATCCAGCGTCCCTTTTACGTACCGTAGAACCCTTTTGAGAAGACCCCAGTGTTCATGTGTGGGTGCATGCATGAATTGGCAGAGTCTGTTCACAGCAAACGACAGGTCCGGTCTAGTGATGGTGAGATACTGTAGAGCACCAGCAAGCCGTCGATACTGAGTAGGGTTGTCATAGGGATCAGTCGAAGGTGTAACAGCTTGAGTTGTGGCGGCAGGAGTTGCGAGCGGTTTGCAGTCAGTCATGCCTGCTCGATTTAAAAGGTCCTTCATGTAACGACGCTGTGATAAGAGTATGCAGTCCCCTGCGGATATGGTTTCTATGCCAAGAAAGAAACTCGGTGTTCCAAGATCCCGAATCTTGAAAGTGGACGCCAGTCTTTGCAACAGAGTGTCTACCAATGTGGAATCATTACCCATCATGATGATGTCATCCACATAGACAAGCAAGAAGACACGTGAATCCCCAGTGGAGTAGTGGAAGAGAGAAACATCCGTTTTGGATGCCACAAACCCTGCAGAGAGTAAGAAATCATGCAGACGGCGAAACCAGGCCCGTGGGGCCTGCTTTAGCCCATATAAGGATCTTTGTAAACAGCAGACATGTTCCGGATGGTCCGGATCTTCATAACCCGGGGGTTGACGCATGTATACTGTCTCAGCCAGATGGCCATTGAGAAAAGCGTTGTGGACATCCAGTTGCCGCATAGTCCAGGCCCGAGAGACTGCGAAAGAGAACAGAATGCGGACTGTAGTCGGCTTGACTACTGGGCTGAATGTTTCAAAAAAGTCTTCACCAGAAACTTGATTGAAACCCTTTGCAACAAGGCGTGCCTTGTAGCGTTCCACTGAGCCATCGGCCTTTCGCTTGGTGCGAAACACCCATTTGCACCCGATCACATTCATGTTGGGTGTCGGAGGGACCAGCCGCCACGTGTCATTGTGTAGCAAGGCGTTGAATTCTTGGTCCATGGCGTCACGCCATTGTGGATGACCAATAGCTTGCGTGTAACAGGTGGGATCCGGTGGATCAGTTGTTGCGGTTAAAGCTTGAAGTTGCTCACCGGTGCCTTTAGTCATGTGCCGCAATCGCATCACATGATCCCGTGGTCCCGGTGGTCTTTTTGGGGCCCTTTTTCTGGTGGCCCGAACTTGTGGTGGAGCTGTGGCGGTACAGCTCATCGGTGGTGCCGGGGGTGGTCCACCTGTAGTTCCTTGTATGACCGGACAAGAAGCCCATGGTTGGCTTTCTGCGACTGATGGTGTTGTGTCCTGTACTGAAGAAGCAGTTGCAAAAGGAAACACATTTTCATCAAAGCGCACGTGGCGACAAATATAGGTCTTGCCCGTGTTTATGTCCATGCATCGGTAACCTCTAAAGGAAGCTGGGTACCCTAAGAAGACACACGGGGCTGAGCGATACTCTATATTGTGCCGATTGTATGGCCGTAGATAGGGAAAGCATAAGCACCCGAAGACACGTAGAAAGGTGTATGTAGGTGGTGTTTTATATAGACGGTAGTGGGGTGTATCAAACTGTAGGGCAGACGACGGAAGCCGATTGATTAGGTATGTAGCTGTTTCAAAAGCGGAATCCCAATGTCGTAATGGGACTGAGCCTTCGGCTAAAAGCGCAAGCCCAGTCTCGACAATGTGTCGGTGCCGGCGCTCAACTCGGCCATTTTGCTCATGCGTATAGGCACATGACTGTCTGTGCACTATACCCAAGGCATTAAACGTAGCATGCAAACGACGGTATTCTCCGCCCAAGTCGGACTGGATGGACTTGATAGAACGTGAAAACAAACGTTCTACCATCGTCCTAAATAGCTCAAAAACCTTATAGATGTCAGTTTTGAGACGTAGAGGATAATACCAACAATATCTGGTATGATCATCTACAAAAAGAACAAAATACCGGAAACCTTCCGCAGAAACAACGGGCGCGGGACCCCAGATATCAGTATATAAAAGATCTAATACATTGCTACTGGAATGCTCAACCCTATCTAAAGGAAAACGAGATGCTTTCCCCCGCTGACACGACGAACATATGGCTGTGGAACTTGATTTATTTGAGGACACTAGACAATTATGTAGAACCCTTTGTAGTGCCTGATTATGTGGATGCCCGAGCCGGCAATGCCACACCTGAGAGGACGCCCGGGCCGTTATGAAACCAAAATGAGACCGCGGAATTGTGAGATTGTACAAACCCCCCGAACTAGGTGAAACTTGGCAATCTGATACCAGATGAGTTTAGGAACGAGTGTTTCATTCAATTACCGTAACAAACTGATAAGGTTACAAGATATACTACTAGTAAATAGATCCTACACAGATGGCTAAGGACAAGGTCAATATAACAATTATTGACTTATACTAATAATATATAATATATGCTAATAGGCATGTCCCTGAGGTACTTTTTTGGTCTATTTTACAACCTGCAAAATCTGCATCTGAATAACCAGTTAGTGTAAAATCTCCTTCTTTGGGATACCATAATCCCACATTGATTGTTCCTTTGAGATATCAAATTATTTTCTTGAACGCAATCAAATGACTCTCTTTGGGCTTTGATTGGAATCTCACACATATGCCAACCGAGTAGGATATGTCCGGTGTGCTTGCAGTTAAGTATAGTAACGATCCAATCATCCCTCGATACATTGTTTGGTCGACATCTTTTCCTTCATCATCTTTATCCAATTTTTGAGATTTACTCATGGGAATTTTGACTAAGGATTTTCCATCTATGCCAAATTTATTGATAAGATCTCTTGTGTACTTGGCTTGATTTATGAAAATTCCTTCTTCAAGTTGCTTGACTTGCAGTCCCAAAAAGTAATTTAATTCTCCCATCATACTCATCTCGAACCTGTTCTGCATTAGCTTAGAAAATTTCTCACATAGAGAATTATTAGTACTTCCAAAAATAATATCATTAACATAAATTTGTACTAACAAAATGTGATTATTTTCTTGAATTCTAAAGAGGGTTTTATCAACTAGACCTTTGGTTAATCCACAACTAATTAAGAACATTGACAAGGTGTCATACCAAGCTCGCAGAGCTTGTTTTAACCCATACAATGCCTTCTTTAATTTGTAGACTTGATCACCAACGTCTTTTACCTCAAAACCGGGTGATTGTTCGACGTAAACTTCTTCTTCAAGTAAGTCATTAAGAAATGCGCTCTTTACGTCCATTTGATACACAGTGTAATTCTTGTGCGCTGCATATGCTAGGAATATCCGGATTGCTTCGAGTCGTGTGACGGGGGAAAACGTCTCATCAAAATCTATGCCTTCTTCTTGTGAGTACCCCTTCGCGACTAATCTTGCTTTATTCCAAACAATGACGCCGTCTTCATTTGCTTTGTTCCTAAAGACCCATTTAGTGCCAATTACATTTTGGTGCATTATTCTTGGAACAAGTTCCCATACATCGTTGCGCTTGAATTGATCTAATTCCTCTTGCATGGCATCTATCCAACTTGGACCGGCTAAAGCTTCGTCAATTTCTTTCGGTTCCAGTTGTGATAGAAAACATGAGAACATTGCATCCCTTGTTGGTATATCTAGTTGGTCCCTTATAGATGATCGTGTTCTTATTCCGTCTCTTGGATTTCCAATGACTAAGTCATGTGGGTGATTTCTTAGCCACTTTCGATTTGGTTGAAGACTCATTGGATTCTCAGAGTTTCCTTCTTGTTGAAATACCACTTGTTGAGATATCTCTTGTTGTGAATTGTTGACGGGTATATCTTCGGGTTCATCTACTGGGATTTCTTCCGTTGAAATTCCAGGTGCAATTTCGGTTGTGGGTGTAAGTGATACTTCGGGTGTCACATTTGGCATTGTTTCAACTTGGTGAGTACCCATATCACTTGATTCCTCTACCTCCTACAACACATTATCTTCTAAAATATAATTAGAATTATTTAAATCACGATTACCTCCATTATGTATGCCATTTTTGTCGTGATTTTCGTCGAACACGACGTGGATCGATTCTTCTACCACCATGGTTGATTTGTTGAAAATTCTGTATGCCTTGCTGGTAGATGAGTATCTTAAGAATGTTCCTTTGTCCACTCGCTCGTCAAAAGTCTTTAAGTGAGACTTTCCATTAACAAGTACAAAACATTTACAACCAAATGTATGAAAATAGGTGAGATTGGGTTTTCTCCCTTTCCATAACTCATATGGTGTTTTGTTATAAGACTTGTGGATTAGACTGCGATTTTGAGTATAGCACGCCGTATTGATAGCTTCGGCCAAAAATCTCTTTGGTAGTCCGGCGGCTGAAATCATAATTCGTGCGGCTTCCGTGAGTGTTCGATTTCTTCTTTCAACTACGCCATTTTGTTGCGGCGTTCGTGCGGCAGATAATTGGTGTAATATTCCTTGTGAATTGCAGTATGATTGAATCACTCTGTTCACAAATTCTGTTCCTCGATCGGTTCGTATTGTTGCAATCTTCATGTTTTTTTCTACTTGCAGTAGCTTCAGTAGCTCTGGCAACTTTGACAAGACATCATCCTTTTTCTTGATGAATATTGTCCATGTGTACCTGGAAAAGTCATCAACAACAACCAAGGTATATTTCTTACCACTTATACTTATTGGATTTACTGGACCAAATAAATCCATGTGTAGAAGACTTAGGGGTCTTGATGTTGACTCTTGAGCTTTGGTTTTGAAAGATGCTTTGTTTTGTTTTCCTTTCTGGCATGCATATTTGATCCTTTTTGAACACAATATTGGGTAGTCTTTCGACTATTTTATTTCTTGCAAGCTTGTTGATGGTTTTGAAATTCAAATGATTTAGCCTTCTGTGCCATTCCCAACTAGCTTCATTCGAATTGTTTGCCACCAAGCATACGGAGTCCTTTGTTGTACTCCAATCTACAACGTACATATTCTTCTTTCTTGATCCGGTGATTACAACTTCATTCGTAGATTCGTCCTTGACTTGACATTTGCATTTGAAAAATTCTACGAGATATCCTTTGTCGCAAAATTGACTTGTGCTGAACAAGTTCAATTTTAATCCTTCGACATAAGATACGTCTTCAATTCGTAGACCATTTTTCACAATTGTACCCGTTCCTTTTGTTGTTCCATATCGATCATTTCCTCCAAAAACTACTTTTGGTCCTTCGATACTTTTGAACTCAACTAGACTAGCTTTATATTGCCGGTCATGTGTCGAGAGCATCCCCTATCGAAATACCAAATTTCCTGCAAAAAAGATTAATTGCCTTTAAGTACCTAGAGTTGTTTCGGTCCTTTTGTGTTAGTAATTTTTGGCATCCAAATCCACCTAGATCCCACTGATCAAAGAGTAGGTGATTTGTAACCATTAAAGACTCTATAATCATAGCGCACTTGCGAAAAATGCTTTGGTGCGGGTTGGGAAGAAGATAGTTGCTTGATCCTATGAAAAAGAGCAAATCTGGACTTGGTGCATGGTTCGTCTTCAAGCGACCAATCTTGTTTTGAGGGATATAATCTCCCAGGCCCAATTCTCGGAATTCTTCCCATATTCCTATGAGGTTTTGTTGCACTAGACTTGTTGGCTCTCCTTTGAGATACAAATTTTTGACTTTTAAAATTTTGTTGCTTTGCCGAGATATTATTATGTTGATTCGGCCTTGCAACATTTTTCTGGGCATTTATTTGATTACCAACTCCTTGTCTCATTGTGCTATACTGACTTTTCAAAAATTTTATCACTGGAACTTTATTAATTAAAGTAGTAGTAGAATTAGTCAGTTTCACAAGGGTTTGAGAACATGATGGATCGTAGCCTAGTCCGGCTTTATCTCCAGCGGGTTTTTGCATGCTTACCATTTTATCCATTATTTTGGATGAATGCGTAAATAATGCGATTACTTTCCGAAGGTTATGTTCTCGAACCTCTCTAGCTTTGCACTCTTCTTGCAGTCGAATATTTTCGGCTTTCAAGTTACTCAATTCAAGTAAAGCATTTTGCAATTTTTATGTCATTTCTTCCTTTTCAAGGATTAATAAATTATTGCGCTCTTTGACTTGAGTATGAGTGGCCATGACTTCTTGACAATCTTTCATGAGACTTAGAAATGATTATTGAGTCTAGAAAGAGGTGTCAACTGAACTAAAGGAACCAAAGGAACTAGAAGATACCTCTTTGTCGGTTTCACGCGTCATTAAGCATTCCTCATGTTCGAATGTCTTGCATACTAGGCATAGTAGCGCCGTATCTTCTTGTGATGAATCACTCTCGTCACTAGATGATTCTTCGGATTCACTTGCTTCTAGTGGATCGCTTATTAGTGCCTTCCGCTTGTCCTTTTTGAATTTATTTTCTTTTGACTTGTACTCAACCTGTGGAGAGTTAGAAGTATTCGAATTTTTGTTCGCCTTGGGGTGTGGACATTCGGCCATGAAGTGTCCAAGCTTCCTACAGTTGTAACACACATTTGTGTTTTCTTCAGTAGATTCTCTTCTTGATCTTCTATTCTCTGGAAAAGAATTTCCTTGTGGTGATCCTTTGTTCTTTCGCATGAACTTTTTGAATTTCCTAACAAATAAGGAAAATTGTTCGTCAGATAAAAAATCATTATTTCCTACTGACCTTGATGTGGATGGTTGTTCGGTCATCAGTGCAGATGTTCGTTCATCGCGTTCTTCTTCGACTTGTGTCTTCATTTCGAACTCATACGCCTTAAGATCACTAAAGAGTTTTTCCGTAGATAGTATCCTTAGATCTCTATGATCGCGCATTGCGGTCACCTTCATATCCCAACTTGTATGTAGTCCGCGTAACACTTTGAGCGATATTTCCTTCTGGGTAATGGTGTTTCCCAGATCCGTGCTCTCCCCAAGGATTTTGATTAGTTGAGCTTCTATATCGGTGATGTTTTAATTCGGTAACATTTTGAAATCTTCGAACCTCTTTATGGCGATGGTAAGTTTGTTGTCTTTTTCTTATTCGTCGCCTTCACCGATACCGATAAGTGTATCCCATATTTCTATTGCTGTGGTGCACTTTCGAATCTTTGGAAATATGGTGTCATCAACTGCTTTGAACAAAATGTCCTTGGCAATGTTGTCCAAATTATTTCGTCCTCTATCTTCACTTATCCACTCTATTTTTGGCTTTGGAACATATTGTGGAGCATTTGGATCTCGTGCAACGGCAGTATTAACTTCCATGATCTTGATAGGACCATTAGTGATGACTTCCCACATTTCATCATTTAGAGCAGATAAGTGCACCTGCATTCGAATTTTCCAATCATCAAATTTGTCAAGTGAGAAAAGCATATTTTGAGCAAGAACCATATCTCTCTTCATCTTGAAGATTTTGAGATCTATCTAGCAGTCAAAATTGACTCAAATAGACAACCGCTCTGATACCACTTGTTGGTCTCGAAAGGGTGCCGAGAAGTCTAGAGGGGGGGGGGGTGAATTGACTTCTCTAACTTTTTCAACTTCGTTTTAAAACACACAAGGCAAATAACACTTTGGTAATTTTGACTCTAAATAACAGGCATCAACAAGTTAAACAACTTAGAGTGTGCAACGGAATAGATAGCGGTAAAGTGTTATGCTTCATTGTGTAGTGGTCAAAGAGAGATTCTAAGCATGCAACTCGTTAGAAACACTTGATATAGCTCAAGGATGATGTATGTAAACTTTGGCTTAGCTTGCATGCAAACGTGGGAACTATCAAACCCAGACAGTTAAAGAAATGCGATAAATCGTAGTCGGGTTAGTTCGCAGTTAGAACAACCATGCACAAAATAAATGAACAGTAAGTAAAGAGAGAGAGTGAGAGAGATTTATAGTGGTTCGGAGATGGTGTAATTCTCCTACTCCACTCTTCTCCTTTCACTCCAAGGAGGGAATTCACTATTCATCGATCACCCAGATACAATAGTGAATAAGTGTCCACCGACACTTCTCCGAGTGCTACGCACAAAGCTACACTCCACCAAGGTTTTTCACAAGCTCCTCTTGTTACTCCGTCTTCCCGAGTATTTCGCACCAAGTTGTATTCCTACACCACGAGAACTACGCACAATGCTACGCTCTCACAGGGTTTTCACAAGCCCCCCTTGTTACTCTACCCTTTACAACGAGTGCTACGCACAAAGCTACACTCAACCAGGGTTTTTCACTCTCTCTAGTTACTCCGCCCTCTTTCTACACTCAGTAGAGAAGATTACAAAGAAATAAAATATTTCTCTCTCACTCAGACTTGAATATTATTCTATGAAGCTCAAATTCTCTTCTTGGTTGATTTGAATATTGCTTACTTTTCTCTTGCTTGTATATCTTAATCAATCAGCCATATTCAAAGTTGGTGCTTGTCTTCAAGTCTGCTTGGACAATTTATAGCCAACCAAAGCTATTTGCCCGTTGATCAACTTTCGATCTCGATCGTCTATCTTCGTATGTAGTTGATCAAAATAAAGTTGTCAACTTGATCTGAAATGTTAGGCAGTCGTCTTTCACCTTTTGTCAGATGATTTTAATATTTTGCCCATTGCCGTCTCTTGAGAAATGTAGCCTCCAAAATCTGAATAAGTTCGGCGCGGCAAACTTGTCATTTCTTGTCATTCATAAATGTTTTGACATATCAAGTTGATCAAATAATTCATCTGCTGATTCTTGCTTGAGTATGAAAATATATCTCCGTGAATCAGCCTTCTTCGAGCATCTCCGATTCCATCGTGAAAAGGTTGATGTTCAGATAAAAATATATCAGTTATTTTCTTCTTCATAATCCATGTAGAATGCTATATTGGAACCTCTGTAAAAACTTCATGGTTTGTGCATGGTGTGTTTCTTCATTATGTGATGCTTAGTCTCCCAAGCTTACTTTGTCTCCAATATGTCTTGCCTAGTCTCCCATATAGCATGAGATTCGAACTTAGGATTATTTGGCATAGCTCAGTCTCCCAAGCTTACTTTGTCTCCAATACATCTTGCCTAGTTTCCCATATAGCATGAGATTCGAACTTAGGATTATTTGGCATAGCTCACACATGTATCATCCAACTCTTCTAGCATGGTTCTTGGTGATTTATACGCCAATCAATCATAATTGTGTTAAGCTATAATCCCGCTTAACTCTTCAAATAAATTATGATCTTCAAGACTTGTACATGGGTTGCATGATATGGGTGCACCATACTCTGTGGGTTCAAAACTGACTCAAATAAAATACAATTGGGAACTACTTGATTTTTCAAAAATACATTCGGCTCATCAAAATTTTTACAATTTATTCCTAACAAATACCATGGGCAGGAGCTAATGCACTAGTTTTCAAAAATGATTTCCGGTACATAAATTTATGAGAGAAGTACATATAAAATCTTATGTTCTGAATGGCACTAGTTTTCAAAAATGATTTCCTGTACATAAATTTATGAGAGAAGTACATATAAAATCTTATGTTCTGAATGGCATATAGGTTATAGTATATTAGTAACCTGCCGGTTGAAAATTTTTGTGCATATAGTCTCATGATGTTGCGGGCATGTGACTAGATGCAATTCAACATAATCCCCTTCATTAGTCCTGGCGTGACACATTTTTTTTTAAAAAAAAAAAAATTCAAAATAGTTATAAGTAGGTTGTTGTTTATTAATTTGCATAACTGCATGCAAATCCAAATTGAAAGGGAGACCAGTACATTTTATTATTGCCAGCATGGAGAAATACAAAGATTAGAAGAAGAACACATAAAAAGACAGCATTACCCTTCATTTTCACGGTCAACGGACGACTGCACTGACGGAGGACTAAAAGTCTCCAAAGACCAATAAGCGTGGCTACAAATGAACAATTTTTATTATGGAGAGCGAAAACTATCTACGCCTCAATAAATCTAGGACCAAAAAGTAATTAACTCATCTATTATTTAAGGACCAACTAAACTATCCTGTGTGCGAGATTAGTAAATCTAACTTCAATTCACATATATGGTAGTGTATTATTACCCATAGTTTTGTTAGTGGGAATGTGAATATATATACATAAATTAAATCTCTGTGGTAAGATTACTTTCAAACAACAAATAGCATAGAATGTGAAATTACATCCTCTTCCTGCAAAAGTGTGTGCGTGTTAAGTGATGGCATCCCTGCAAAACTCGAGGGAGGGCATAGACTTGTCATTAGATGAGGAGCCAACAACTTTGATTTTGGATTGCTGGTAATGTGTGGTCACTATCTTCAAGCATGTGCATCGTCATGAATCATGATCATGCATGCTTTTCTCAATTCAAAATGCATTTTATACTATAAAACAAACATAAAGAAACAAAATATTTGAAAACAACAGTTATAGAAATGTAGATATAATGCTATGAATCTCTTTTAACTTAAATAAAACTCTATACGAATAGGGTACGTGTTGAAGAGGGGAAAGGGGATTATGCCATACCAATTGTGTGATGTGTAATGCTTGCGTGTAGGGATATATATGATCGAGTGATCATTATTTATTCCAAGTGTGAAATGACAGACATCGAATCGATATATATATGATGGGGAAGAAGATGCATATAAAGGAGACAATGAAAGCTCCCTTTATTCGGAATAATTAAGGCTACATGCCAAAAATGTCTCTATTTTCATTGATTACTATGATACCCCGACTATGACAATGTTAATATGACTAAATACCAGCCAATGTCCCTCGAGTTTGGTGGTTTCACCACCTATAGTCCCTAACTTTTGTAATTACCATCCGTGGTCCTCCGAGTTGTGAAATCTGACCTGTTGCCATCCTTCGGTTAGTTTCTTCCGTCTAAGCCGTCAAAAACGAGGGTAAATATGTCATTTTCCATACTGATCCCTTGTAGTGCCACAAGTGGTGGTGCTTCGACTGAGCTACACAGCCGGAGGTCGGGGTTCCACCGTATAGGGAGAAATTAGTCGGAATCGTATATACCCCACTTGAATGATGACTAAAACCATTGTTTTCAGCTGTGGCTTCAACTTTCTATTGCACCTATCACGAACTACATCCTCCGATCGTCCATCGCCGGAATTGCACCTAGCGATGAGGACTGGATTGCGATGCGAGAGTTCGAAGATGGACGTCGATCGCTAAATTGATGGTGGCGATCATCATGCTGGGACCAGGCAACTGCTCTGGAGGATCTCAATCGACCATCGAAGTTGTGACCTTAGGCGAAGTACAGCGCGGTCACAATTGGCGAAAAGTCAAAATTGCGAGATTTCTCGCAAATCGCCAGAGCATTCTCCTTGGGTGCGCGCAACGCTCTCGTCACTGTCGCCGTGGACGGTTTCTTTACCAACTTGTTGTCGGAATTTCTTTCTTGATTTCCCAGAAGGCGGAGACATAAGGGGGTGGGTAGGGGTTCTTGATTTCCTAGAAATGGAGCCAACGAAGCTATTTTGTGATTTTTAATTTCTGAAACCCAACAATTCCATGCCTTGATCTTGAAAACCCCAACAATCAATTTTGAAATCCATATGTAGAAAGATGTGTGTGGAAATTTTACCATGATGAAATCAAAGAGAAGGGGGAAAAGGTTGACAATTGGAACAAGGAAGAGCGGTAACAAACATGCCAAGCAGACGTATTTTTCGTGAAATTGAGAATTATAGTTGAATTTGGAGATGAGAGTTCACCGGAAACACCCACCACCACGCCGACAGCCACTGCTCAGCCGCGACCACCGTCAACTGTCGTCGAATCTGCCTAGCTGCCACCGGATCTACTCGCCTCGCGTCAAATGTTCGCCGGAAAGAAACAAAGCTTGTCGTTCGTCGTTGCTTTTTTCTCACTGACCCATCTTTGCCGTCGACTAAGAGAGAGAGAGAGATCAGTCGCCAAAAACAGATGGTGTCGGTGTCAATTTGCTTGGTTGCCGTCGTGCCCTGCTCGCCGGGAAGAACAGAGTTCGCCGAAGGAGATGTGAGTGTCGCGAGATCCAATGCTTTCCGTCTTCTGCTACCGACCGGGAGAAGAAATGAAAAGGAGATAATAAAATACATAAAAAAGAAATATATATGCCAAATAACATTTTTACCCTTGCTTTTGACGGCTTAGATGACAGGAACTAACAGAAGGATGATAGCAGGTCCGTTTTTGTAATTCGGAGGACTACGAATGGTAATTACGGAAGTTAGGGACTATAGGTGGTGAAACCACCAAACTCGAGGGACCTTAGCTGGCATTTACTCATGTTAATATACACAAAATCATCTTCAATTATCATGATTTTTTTCAATTTCATCCTAAATAATTTTGGTGACCTAATATAGTCCCAAATTTTTGTATTTTTGCTCAATTTAATATTCCATTTGTTATTCTATCCATTTGGTGTTAAATAGAAGGACAATTTAGTAATTTCAGTATTAGAATCTTTTTACTCATAAACCTGCAAAGTGTGAAATCCATCTTTATTTTATGAATTATTACTCCCAAACCTGCAAATATAAAATATGATTCGCAGGTCTAGGAGTAATTCTCGAAGTAATTCGTAAAAGAAACAGGGATTTTGCACTTTGCATGACTGAGAGTAAAGAGAGACCAATATTGAGATTACTGAATTGTCACTTTATTTAACACCAATTTGACGGAATAACAAACAGATGACTAAATTGAGTAAAAACACAAAAGTATGGGACTATATTAGGTCATCAAAGTCGTTTAGGACGAAATTATGAAAAATCACAATAGTCGATGACCATTTTGGGTATTAACTCATTTTTTTTTAAATTAAAAAATGACATAGTTGTCGCTCTCCTTGAGGAAATGTCACAAGATCGAACCCCTGTGGTAGGGTATTGACCCTTTGAGCTGCACTACTTAGAGAAAGTATAGAACAGATACTACGTTGTAATAGAGTCAATAGTATTAAAAAAATGATATTTTAAATTGTTATTTTGTGTCAAGCACCTTGTGCTCAGATGGCATGTAGTGACTTTTTCCATGTGGGAGGTTATGAGATCGGACCTCAGTAGAGGCGTTGTTGACTCTTTATGCTTCATTAGGTTGAGAAAGTATGTTTGAACATATCATACTACAATATAATAGAGCCAGTGACATTCAAAAACATTGTTATTTTGTTCAAAATGAATAATAAATGAATGAGAAGTTAATTCTCAAAGCATACCAATTTGAGTTGAGTTGAAAATGGAGTTAGGAATGTTGAAAATAGCCTTTGCCCTACATTGGAATGTGAAGTGGATTTGCACAAGTATATATACGATTCTTTTTTAGGAGTTTACATTGTATAACATAAATATTTTTTCTCTCTTCCAACAAAAAAATTAAATGTTTTTTCTCTAGTATCTTTATAAGATAGAAATCAATTTTAAGAAAATAGAGTGTTACACATTACTTGGAGTTTCTTTTGTTTTGTATCGCTCCGTTTGGGTTTATATTCTCAGAATTTGAACCCTTTATTTTATATTTATATATATATATATTGTATTGCCGACTTATATATATATATATATATATATATATATATATATATATATATATAATATACCTACAGATAATAAAACACTAACACTACGGTGGCGTCTGATTCAAAGGTCCAAAAGAATTAAAATTTGAATTGAAGATCTGGAGAATATCAACGAAGTTATAAAGCAAGGCAATCTGGAAAAAAAATGCACTGACAATTTGATGAGGATGAGAACTCTAATGAATTGTATTAACAGTCCTAAATGACAAGAGTATAAGACTTAGATATATATTCAAGAAGAGACATAGTGAGACTAGGATTGGGAATCATAAGTAGACTCAAATACATGGATAGAGTCTTAATATTCCCCCTCAAGCACAGGGTACAGATGTGACCTGTAGCTTGTCTCTAAGAAAAGAAAACCTAGGACTTGCTAAAGCTTTTGTAAATATTTCAGCAAGTTGATCTTTGGTAGAGATAAAGTTGACTTGAATCTCTCCATTGGCAACTCTGTCTCTCACAAAATGATAGTCAATTTCAACATGTTTAGTGCGAGCATGAAAAATAGGATTATCACACAGATATGTAGCACCAAGATTATCACACCATAGCTTTGCAACTGAAATCCCAGTGATGCCAATCTCACGTAAGAGGGAGAGAACCCAGATCACTTCAGCACAAACATATGCTAACCCCTTTGTGTTCAGCCTCCGTAGAGGATCTTGCAACAGTTCTTTGCTTCTTGCATACCAGAGACACAAGATTTGACCTAAGAAAAACAACATAACCACTGGTTGACTTACGATCCTCAAGGCTGCCAGCCCAGTCTGAGTCAGAGAAGGCATGTAATTCTCTGGATTCAGATTTTCAGATATGTAAACCATAAGATAGAGTCCCTTTGACATACCTCAATACACGCTTGGCTTATTCCCAATGAGTGACCGTAGGAGCATGCATGTGTTGACAAAGTTTATTGACTGCAAAGGATAAATCTGGTCTGGTGATAGTAAGATACTGAAGGCCGCGACCACGACCACCGCCATTCCCGCGAAGGCCGCCACTACCGCCACGAGACTGCCCGGATTTCTGGACGGAAAAAGCTATCGGTGACGGTCCTCCACTGCCGGCGACGAATTCCTCGGCACTGAGGAGGTCCGAGAGTTCATGAAGGGTCACCGGTGTTCCTCGGACATTGAGAGAAGATACAAGACCCCAAAATTCAGGTCGCATACTGCGAAATACGTAATGGTTTTGTTCTTCATGCGGAAGGTGCCGGCCGGCGAGAGCTAGATCCTCAATGAGAACCTGTGCCCGACCGATATAATCAATGACGGAAGCATCACTTTGTTGCAACGTCTGAAGTTGCCCGAGAAGGTTTAACGAGCGAGACCGAGACAAAGAGGCAAGTGCGGAGGTAACGGCAGTCCACACTGCACGCCTGGTGTGATGTCCGATTGCCAAGGACATAACTTCATCAGACAACGATGACATGAGTATAGAGAGAAGTGCCTGATCCTGACGAACCCATGGATGATAAGGAGGATTCGGCAGAGGCAGCGCTCCCTCTTTGCCGGACGAGATCGTGGCCAGCGGGCAAGGATTGATTCCGTCGATGAAACTCATTAGATCATATCCGTTGAGAAAAAGAACAACTTGAGCCCTCCAAAATAAGAAGTTCCGATGAGTCAATTTGACGCTGATGAAGTGATGAGCCATGGAGAGGGTGGTTACGGTTGAAGTAACCGATGAGAGGGGGGCATCAGAAATGGTCCATTCAGAGGAATTGACAGATCCGTCGGCCATTAGATAGAAACCCTAGCTAGCTGATACTAGATGAGAACTGTAATGAATTGTACTAACAGTCCTAAATGACAAGAGTATAAGACCTAGGTATATATATACAAGAAGAGATATAGGGAGACTAGGATTGGGAGACTTAGGGAGACTAGGATTGGGAATCATAAGTAGACTCAAATACATAGATAGAGTCCTAATAATGAGATGTAGAAGTGCATTCGAGAAATGAAATCACATATAAGTGAGTGTACTTTATTTATTGGTCATTGTACTTTGTAGTGTTGATCAATGCACTTTGTAGCCATATTGGCTTGACCGAAGGAACTCCGAAAGAACACCTCAATCCCTAAGGCAAGAAACTGTGGATGCACAAGTGCTATGCTACAATTGTCGAAAGCCAGGACATCTCAAAGCGAATTGCCCTCATCCTATGGTCCGCAAATACCATGACCAGGAACCTAGCACGAGTTCACCGAAAGATGCCGCTGAAACCAGCAAAAGAGGTGGTAAACAAGAGTCAAGTCAACCATGACACGAAAGGAGAAGGAAAGCAATGGTTGCAAATGAACCAACTGAAGAGGTCCAACCCGAAACCAGCACTTCAAGTTCAAGTTCAGAAAGTGAAAGTTCGAGATATGAGAATGGACTTCTATGCCTCTTCAGTCAAGAGGAAGATGTAGATGATCTATGCCTAATGCCCGATGATGATGAGGTAAACTCTCGAACCTCTTCATCTACCCAAATAGAAACCAGCTCTGAAAGTGAAGGAAATCCAAATGAAACTATCTTTGAGATGATGATGGATTTCAAGGTAATCAAAAACACATACTCCAAACTAAAAGAAGATAACTCTCGGCTATTGATCAGCTACGATGAGCTAAGGCGCGTTAGAATCAGTAACATTAAGCTAGCCATCGCCAATGATCAGCTTGAGAAGCAGGTTCTTCTTCTAAAGGAGCAGTGTACAGAAAGAGAGTTACGGGAGCAACATTTGCATGAGGTTCTTGATTCATTTAACAACTCATCCAATCTAATGGATCGATTAGTGAACAGATCAAAACCAACAGGGGAAAGAACCGGAATTGGTTACGACCCCAGCTCCTCATCACATATCTTGTTGAACAAACCTATAGACACTTAATCACATGAAAGTTTTAAGTCTGTATTTGTTCAAGGCCCTACCAAATGTCTAAGCCTATGGCACAGATTAACAATGGAAGCAAACCACAACCAACAAGCCAACTGAAAGGAAAGGTTGTACAACGAGTTGTGGAACCTCCAAATGGAAGATTCTTGAAAGGCAATCCTAGACACAATGCAAATGTCAAAAGGTGTAACACCCCCTAAATTCCATGCTTTTTAAAGCCTTAAACATGCAGATATCTAAATCAAAACATCAAACACAGCGGAAGACTGAAAGAGGAAATATATAAACTGGAAGTAAAAGGGTGCTATGCCACTCTCACCTAGGTGTGAATGCACAGGCTAACATCTGCATTGTTCAATATCTAAAACCAACATCACAAAGTACTAAGTCTAAATTGGCTCGCAGGCCACAAAACATAAGGGAGGAGCTACACTAGCTGGCACTAAGCCGCGCACTCGTCTAAACATCACCTGAAAGAAACACATAAAACATGGGACGACGCCCGGTCAGCGACTAATGCTGGTAACCCACCAATACATGTGAAATATCATACATAGATAAGATATAAGTTCGTAAAGCCATTTTCGAAATGGAATACATATATGTAAGTTAAAAACCAAGAGTAATAGTCAACACAAGACTCAAACACTCTCAACAAGAACACGGGAACACATCCCCAGACTACAAGGAACAACAACGACTCACAAGAAGTCTCAAGGTATAATCTATCATCACACAATAGATTAACACCCGACACACACAACTCAAAAGAATAAGGACACAACCAATGACAACACATGCCTAGGCAACACATGCCTTTGTGACAACACACGTCACAAGAAGAGAACTCACAACAACTGTAACACCCCGTGTTACGGCCTTCAATCCCAGATTAATTATTTAATTAATTCCGTTAATAATAATTAAAAAGGGATTTAATTTGGCTAGGATTCCCTTTAATTAATTAATGTGGTCCACCATGGATCGTGGACACTTACCTAGACTAGAGTCTTAAACCTATTAGGAATAAAGAGAGTAAACATTTTTACTAATCAGATTCTAATTAGGAGTCTTAGACCTAATTATCTATTAGAAATAAAGAAAGTAGGCATTTACAATTCAGATCATGATTAGGATTCCCTTTCATTAATTAATATGGTCCACCATGGACCATGGACCCTTATCCATAAACCAAGCCCTTAGTCCTATAAGAAATAGAATTAGTAAACCCATACCATTCAGACCCTAATTAGGACTCCTAGATATATATATATATATATATATATATATATATATATATATATATATATATATATATATATATATATATATATAAGGACATAGGAGGCACCTAGAAGTCACACCACAATAGATATCACCACACAAGAATTCCCAAGGGACTCCCCACCACCATGCCTAGGGAGATCAAACGGATTGAAATCTTAGGGAAGAACCTTAATAGCCAAGAGAGGATTAATTAAGGCTAAGAGGTAACCCATGTCTCAACAAAACCTATTTTCTTCGCTATAATCTCTTTCCTTGGCCTCCCTCTATATTCTTGTGTCTTGATGGAATTCTTCTATAATAATTATGTTATGTTCTTGATGATTGATGAGATGACTTATATGCTTTCTTGAGAATCTTGATGACCTTGATGTTAAAAAGAAGTTCTTGATTATGATATGATGATTCTTGACGAATCTTGATATTTTCTTGATGTTAAGAATAAAATATGTTCTTGATGATTTGGGTGGGATTAGAGCCCTAGGTTGGATTGGGAATTTTTATTGAAGATGTTCTTGATTTATATTTGGGGGGAGGGGGGGGGGGAGAATTCGCATGTTCGGGTGTTGTTTATATTTAGAGGCCGTAATAGGTTAAGTCCTACATGATTTTTGCTTTTGATCCGTTAATTGCTTATGTGATGTCGTTATTTGCGTTTAAAAGTGTCTAAGCATGGTTCCGGGTTCCACAAAGGATCCCGGGACGAATTTATGATGAATGAGTCAGTGGGGGGTAAGAGGGGGTGGGGGAACCCACCACCTACCCACTGCCCAAAAGGGCACTGCCTGGCAGTGGGCAGCCACCGAGCAGCCGGCTGCCCGCCGGCTACCCGCTGCCCAGAACAGTGCCCACCCGCGGGCAGCCGGCGGGTGACCCCCACCCACCGGCTACCCGCTAGTCCATACCCCACCCCGAGTCCCCGGCTTCCCCGTTTGATGTTCCCCGTTCCCCATGGTGTCCCAACGGACCCCGTTTGTCATGCCTGAGTCTAGTTTGGAATTTCGGGTACCATTCGTAGGTTAAACGAGTCTTATGAATTGCATGCTAGTTGAATTGGTAACCCGTGGACCTAGGTGGAAGTTATATGAGCCCTTAGGAATTATTCTTAGTATGTGAATGATCACATGTAAGCTTAATTATATGTCTCCCCCCTTCCCTATGTGAATTATGTGTTATTATGTGTTATTGTGTGTTACGTGATGCATGACCCCAACTTGGTTAAGATCAATTGGGCTATACGGGCAGTTGAATGGGCTGAGAACCATCCCAACTGTTAACCAGGCCGATTAAGATCGGTCAGGGATATTAATATGATATAGGACTGAGGTCCACTATACGGGCAGTTGAATGGGCTGAGAACCATCCCAACTGTTAACCAGGCTGGTAGAGACCGCTCAGGTATATAAAGATTATGTATAGGACTGAAGGTCCACATGGGTCTTGGTGATATGACCCACCGACCTGGACGCGCCAGGCGGTGTGTAGGGCCAACAAGCCGAGGAAGGCTGTAGTCCACCGACCTGAGTAATCAGGCGGTGTGTAGGGCTACGACTGGCTACGATCCACCGAGTGGTGGGACATCGGTATGTAGGATCGTAGTCTCTGAGGATCTTTGCCCACCGACTGAGTTTAGCTCAGCGGTGTGTCGGGCTTGATCCGCTATGGCCCACCGATTGTGCGCATCAACGGTGTGTACGGTCGTAAGTCCCCCCTTGTAATGGGGATCGCGGTCCACCGACTGGGCGCGTCAGCGGTATGTCGGATCGTGGTCCGACGTTGAGTTCGTCAGCGGTTCTCAAAGGGTTGGTTGCGATCAACTCCCCTCGTACCACGGTACTGAGGTAGGGTGTTGCGGGGCCGTGTTAATGCTATAAGCATTAACCCTCATGTTCAGGGCATGCGATTAGTCCCGTGGCGCCATCAACGATTATGTGATATGAATGATGATTAAATGATTATTAAATGATGATATGATTGATGTGAAAATAGACTGTGACCTTAGTTGTGTGTTCTTAATGATGATTCTCCTTAACTATTATTATTGATTGTGTGCTTACCCTATTTGCCGAGTCTATTCCTGGTTTTAAAGCTAGAGTCTCTTAAGTATATATATCTTCCTGCTTCAAAATGATTTTCGTATATCTATATATATCTATCTATAATGTATTTCAACGCGTAGGAGTGGGTTACCGGCATCATTCGCTGAACAGATATATTTGGCTTTCAGGCACAGATGATTAGCTCCCAGAGCGCACTAGAGGAACTTGGAGTAGATAGATATTTTTCCTTTCGGCATGCGTGCCATGATGATATATTGAGGATATTTAGTTAGTTTAGCCTGTGCATCTGAGTTTTCCAGCTCAGATGTGGCATAGCACCCCGCACTCGTATGTTTAGTACAACTCTGTTTTGGGATTTAATGAGAATTGACCTTTGTTATATAAGTTTTAAAAGTTTCAAATTTTCGGGGTGTTACAACAATGGCTACACAAGCCCTCGTGACATCACCCATCACAAGTTGATATGCCTTCCTTATGCCCGGTTCCAACCTTATGGCTACCCCCAACCTTATATCTAGTTCCAACCTTTACCTCCAGGACCCCAGTACAACCAAGTCCAATCTTTTCCCTCCGAGGACCGTCGTCCCCATCCGCCAACGACCGCCAACAAAACCACCAATTTCATAGTACACGAGGGTACCGATCACGCACACGGCAACACACGCCTCCCAAAAAATACGTCAACCTGACACATAGGTCACAAACTCCATAATCACGTCATGGCCACCACGAGGACCACTGCAATACCTTGGTGACTAGTGTCCCATACCACTAATCGTGCAATCCAGGTAAAGCCACACACACATCACACCTCAACAGGAATAAATCAACCGATCACAACGAAGATATGAAACCATACTAATTCAAGGAATTGATCACAGCCCAAGAACAACAACGATGAATAACACAAGTTATCATCAACCAATAAGAAGGTACGAACAACACACACGCTAGCATTTAAACACCGAACTAGCACTAGTACAAAAACAGTCATTCGCGTCCAAAGTTAAGGCTCATTCGCGTCCAAAGTAGCTGGGACGCAGATGGCGGGGACGCTGATTGTATATACAATCAGCGTCCAAAGCTACTTTGGACGCGAAAAACGATTAATCGCGTCCAAAGTTGAAGAACTTTGGACGCGATTAATCTCATTATAGTGTTGAACACTGACTTTGCGCGTCCAAAGTTGGTCAACTTTGGACGCGCAAAGTCTGTAAATCGCGTCCAAAGTTCTTCGACTTTGGACGCGATTAATCATCTTCTTTTAAAAAAAGTACTATACGCGTCCAAAGTTTCTGAACTTTGGACGCCTATAGTAAAATAAATTAAAAATAAAAACATTTTTTTTTATAAAACTACCAATATTTTCCTGTACATTCCAGCATAACTACCAAATAATATATTTCAACATTAATCAATTTAAGATGTATACTACACACCAATCTAAAATTTCAATTCTAATAACATTTTACTACAAATAAACTACAAATTCTAAATGTTAACAATTAAAATAAACTACTTAAGATGTAATCAATCTCCAATTTTTATTCATACTAAAGCACACCTGCTTGCATTTGGGTACATTATATATCTTCAAGTGTTGCCCCCAATTTGGTAATCCTTGAATCCATGTCCCGCTTCTGCTCATAGTCCAATCTGGGAATTGATATATTATTACTCCGTAATATGTATTGCATTACAGTAACAAATCAGTATGTCAAAGCTGCAAACTCTCCAAGTGTTCTTAAGATGATAGGTTCAAACTATCCCCCATCCCCATAGATTATGCATGAAGAGAGAAAGAGGACAAACTGCAATATAACTGGTTAAACACTTAATCATTAAGTAAAGTTATACCTCTTAAATAATTAACTTCTACTAATTCATGTAAATAACTATCATCAATGTACACATGAATGACTAAGAATAATCTAGAAAAGAACATTGCTACCCAATGATCTAAGACCCTATGAACTTTCGAATTTTAAAACAATCAGTTCCGAAAATGCTAATTACCATTAAAGCAAAAACTACTAGCAAGTAAAAATTCTAGCTATTAGACAATCAGTTCCGAAAATGCTAATTCACATGATCATAACATCAAAGGAGAGAAATATAAACCTTTCTCTCCCTAAACGGCGGGCAAGTTCTTCTGCTAGAGCCTGGCCAGGTGGATCCCCATCAGTTGCAAGTATTATACGAGATGCCTATTAAAAATAAAATAAAAAAATCAGAGAACCAAAACCTTCTGGTTGCAGCATTATATTGTGCAAACCTGGATTTGTTTTGCCGCATTGTTAAGATCATCGTCCAATGATATAGCAAGAGGCTCCATCTTAATCTGTAAATAAACATAAAGAATGCCACAATTTATTCCAAGTTGAATAACAAATTAGAAGATACCAAAAAAAGAAGATATTTTGCTAAAATAAGATGTAGGCAGACAATTGCTTTTGCAACTTTTACATTATATAGGGTATCAACACATTGCTTGCACATTTAACTGCTCAAATTAACTAACAACCTCTGCGAAATCGATCTGAGTCAATTTGGTCCTCATAGTATCTGTGCAAGTAGTAGATTGTAAACACTAAATATTGAGAACCCATATACCCAATTACGAAAGCCAGCTTCTTCCATTGCAAGCTTATCCATCTCACCCTCAACCTGCAATAAAAGAGCAGGCATTTACTAAAGAATAACTTTTACATGGGTATATACAAGATTTAAAGTTACTCAAGCAGACCCCTTATCATGTATATGCAAGTATTAGGTACCTGGGGAATTATGAGAGATCGAGTAGAAAAGTTACCTGAACAGTTGCTACAGCCTCCACACCACCAGCTGCTCCTAGAAGGTGACCAATCATAGATTTTGTTGAGTTCACTCGTAACTACAAGTGCTTGGTACTCCTTGAGATCCCCAGCTGGTGTCGATGTTGCCTGTGCATTTATATAGTTCACATCTTCCCTAGATACCCCGGACTGAGCTAAGGCCTTCTCTATACATAGGATAACACCAGTGCCTGCTTGCATAAAATGGCAAATTCAAGTATGTGTCAAATCTGTAGCTAAATTGGACTTAAGACTACTTTATCGATAAACAGAAGTAGTCTTAAGTCCAATCAAGCTAGAAGGCATACACTTCAACTAAAATAACACAAATAATAGGACTGCCGTTTAAGGGTTTCTTATATTGAAGTATATATCCAGCTGTATAACCATTACCTTCGGGATGAGGCTCTGTCATGTGATAAGCATCGCAAGTGAAGCTTCCACCCAGGAATTCAGCATATATATTTGCACCTCTTCGCTGCTCATCCAAACAACGAAATTAAAGCACACCTCAAAAAACTAACCAATCAAAGGTATTCTAATGATTTCTGAGTTCCAAAGAAAATGAAAATGGAAATGAATCTTTAAGTTTACCTTGGCATGCTCGAGCTCTTCCAGGAGTAAAACCCCAGCTCCTTCCCCCATGACAAATCCGTCACGACCCTGTATAAAATATGTAAGTAATTATTTTAACCTAAAATATTGCCAAATAATGGAAAATTAAGTTTTTGGTTGCACTACTTCATTTGAAGTTGTAGGCACTAAAAACCAGGGCATTCTCAAGAACAAAGTAACATGTCATGCATCCTGAGTTCGATTCCAAGATATGACAACCATTTCTTTAATAACCATGTCTATGGTCCTCTTAACCTATGCGGCTATGAATGAACTTTTCTCCCTGTATACAAGCTCCCTAACATCAACTTTTGTCAGTTTTCTACTTTTCAAAGTCAAATTCAAATCTTGAAATTGGCCTAGCAGAAGGTTCTTCTTCGACATTTGCCAAACCGTGAAAATATGGATCTGCCAATGCCTGAAGAAGAGATCAAAGAATCACCAATATCAGGATAAGAACAACTTTATTTAAAAAGTGCACAAGACATTTAGGAAAGTTATGCAAACTTTTCTAAACACCATTAATAATATTACCTCTTCAGCAGATGGACGATCTTTGGGATCAAATGCAATTAAAAAACGTTCAATTAATCGAGATGGGGAAAACATGAGAGCATTAATAATTTATTTATCAGGAAAACATGAGAGCATTAATCAAGATGATGAAACTCTCATGTTTGCCCCAGAAATGAATTATTAAAGCTCATAATGATTGCATGAGAAAAAGGCACATATCTTTGCACAAACAATTGTTTGTATACAGCTGCATGCATATATCATAGCTAAGTTTGTATACCTGTAAGACAATTAATCATTTTAATCTAATTAGCAACTTCATACAATAATAATAATAATAATAATAATAATAATAATAATAATAATATTTCATTGATTAACTGAATTATATAAAGTCAGAGGCAAACATTTTCTTTTAACACCAAAAAGGTTCTTGTTTGAGCTTCAGGTAAGTCTAGTCATGGACTTCATATTTCTCATTGCTAAACACTTTCTTTTTTCATGTACTGAGAAAGAAAACACACAGACATTACCTCTGCCAAAGGAGAACTGCTTGTTTCAGTGTTGACATATAAAGAAAGCAACTTGATCTTCATGACACCATAAATGTACAATAGAAAGTGTGTATCTTCTCTGTGCTCCACAGCAACATACCTGAGAACAAATTATAATCTTATTCTCAATATAAAAGCACCAAAATAAATAGGAAAGCGCACTTCTAGTATAATATATTATTGAGAAATTGATTGTCACTACTATAACTAAGACTAAATCCTGATTGAATGTGTGAGCATATGCGAATCTGGAATTTAGTTGTACAGCTCGCTGGAAATTTCTAAGAGCAGTTTCATGGTCTTAGAAATTTCCTAAAATCAGTTTCTGTACATATAGCAACTAATTTTGAAGAGCTTAGCTTCGCTCTTTAATAAATTGAAGTCGGTGGATCCAGGCAAGCAAGAAGGAACCCATCTTTTTGGGTATAGATAAATTACTATCCATTTCTATACAAATATCATATAAATGTCAATAAGCAAAAATGCTTGTCCTAATAAAAAGCCAGCTCACTAAACATTATACCATGATTCAAGCACTGAAAATCACCTCTCTGAGAACTCAAGCAGAAACACTGTTGCATACTCTCATTAAACCTTGCATACTACAAGTATCTTATGTATTGAGCCCAATTGGTCAGTCATTCTTATAATGTCCAGTAGTGGCATGTGTTGAGTACTCATTAAATTTGTTTTGCATTAAAGGCAGCATATAGTGAGTTAACTCTTCTATACTTCTATTTAACAATGAGATGTGACAGCAAGGTTACATTACCTCTTCAGCAAAAAGCTCTTCCAGTACCTCATTTATTTGACGATCCTCTGCAACCATAGCCAATGCAATGCTCACAAGCTCATTTGACAAAACATAATCACTTATTTTCGACATGGTCAACAGATTTTTAGTCCTCGAGTCCAGAATTTCACTGATTATAACCGATTTGTCTGAAGCCTGTTGCATTTCAAAAACAGATCACAAAGTCAGATTGTTGAAAGAAAGATCCCTGTAGTAGATGAGAATTGAATATTAGTGAATTGAATATTAGTGCTTAAGATTCAAAAACAGATCCCAAAGATCTTTTGAGACTTGTTGATGGCAGCTCATATGAAATTATTACCTTCTTTACCAAGCAAGAATAGAATGAAGAGAGCCAACCATCTTCAGCACCAAGGCCTGTAAAAAGGCAAGAAAAATATATTTAAAAAAGAAAGATTAAATACATTTGTATATTTGTTGTCCAATGTATAGAAAATAGTTTCAGGATTTGCAATTCCATTCAGTCAGGAAAAAGCACCTATAAAAATTTGGAGAATCAATAACCAAATAACAAATTAAGCCGCACACCTCGTAACACAAAGGATCAGCTTTGATGGCAGCTTTGTACCTGCATAAGTCATAGAAACAGTTATGAGTTATATAAAGATGAGTTACTAACTTATGGCCAATTTAAGACCCCAACTTGCAAATCTATTAGCTAACCTTTGAAAAAAGAACGATGATAATCATTGACTAATCAAATGCATTATACATTAGCTTTGTGGATTGTCTGGTCTCAGGTCACCAGAAGATCAATCATAGAAAGAATTCAAAGAAAACATAACCTGCACTTTCATCTTTTATATTAGAAAAAGTTTTAGTCATACATACCAAGAACTATAATAATAACTAACTGTTGGAAAGAAACATCAAACTCTGAAGTCGAGTTAAATTCTTTCAGAATATTAAGATAGAAAGCTATTAGCTCTAGTAACATTAAGAAATTAGATACAACTAGTATGCGCAACATCTATTAATTCGTGAAGAATTGTCTACTTGTAATAAATAGCATACTCTCATTACCTTTAAGAAAGGAAATGTTTAATATAACAGAAACAGATCATATGGTTGCTGACGTTTTAGACTGTTGAAGTTGTTTCTCTAATGCATGTCTTTTAGAGAGTAATAAGCTCCGAGACTGTTTTGTCTTTACACTCTCATAGACCAGCTGCAGATATATTTAGAGAAGACTAGAAGGGGTTAGCAACTCTAAAGCTATCATCTCACTTCACTATTTCAGCACCTCAAATGATGGGGGTTCCCAAATAAAACCACATTTAAAGAGAATTGGAAGATTAGAAAGAGAATTAAGAAACACATTTAAAATAAATAAATAAAACCACACACGAAACACAAGAGGGGAGTTATGGGGAATACTTTGGTGTTGGAAACACTTATTTCATACAAAATTTCATCTTCAAGTTGCAAGATATGATCCTCCAAGAGAGAAACTGGTTTCTCAAGCATAAAGCTCGCTACTATGTCATTCCCTGGAAAATTGCAAATACAAAATAAAACCCACAGCAACCTAAATCTCCCTTCCCAACTAGAACTGAACTGCACACAGTTAATGACTATAAGTTCTTACTCAATCTTACTAGCAATCCATGAATCTAATTACGAATTTTATGATTCCTGAACTTCTATGAACAAGGTTGTTTATGATTCATTGTAGCAGGTTTAAGCATTGCCCCAAGTACAATCTATGAATCAACATGATCCACCACATAATTAACTTGAATATTGGGAAAAGATTTTAAATTAAAATGACAATCATACAAAGTAGACAAGTACAAAAATTAGTGGGATGTTAAGCCTAGTGTACCCCAGATGCACCATTCGATCACACTCTCACTTTATTCTTGACATTCTAAGCCCTATGAAACTTGGTATGATAGCGAGGAGCGGCGGGGACGGCGGCTGGGTCCGGAGCGGCGGAGACGTCGGCGTGAAGCAGCGGTCGAAGTGAAGCAGCGACTTTGCGGCAGCGATCGACGGCGGCAGCGGGGGCGTCGACGGGAAGATGGAGAGCGGTGGCAGAGGGGGCGTCGGCGTCGAAGATGAAGGAGGATGGAGATCGAAGTCGACGGTGAAGGAGGATGGAGATCGAAGGAGGATGAAGACGGCGGGGACGATGGTGCGGGTTGATCTGCTGCGCTAGGGCTTATTTTGATTAAAAAAAAATAACACGCGTCCAAAATACTGAGTTTTGGACGCGTATAATACGAGGGTTTTAATATTGGCGTCTAAAGTACAGAGCTTTGGACGCCAATACTGTTTTAAAATAAATAAAATAAGAAATTTATTTATATAGTGACATTTTAATTACAAAAATGCCACCGCACTACACTTTAGGAGTCCAAAGTTCTAACTTTGGACGCAAATTATTCAATTTTATTGATGTTTTTTGTACTAGTGTAGCATGCTTAACAAACGGGTAAACCAAACGTAGTTTCGAAGAACGCACAAGATTCATCACGGTTCAACGAAACACAATGTTGAACACTTAACACGATTCAAGACACCAAAACCTACATGGATTCCTACCATATAGTTCTAGACGTACGAAACATCAAGAAGACGCTCAAATAGTTCCACAAAAGAACAACGGGAAGTCAAAAGACCAAATACCCAGTCAAAAGAATCACAGGGAACAAATCCCGAACATACACCGAAGTGTACCCCGCGGGTGGACTCACGGGTAGGCCCCTACCCGCGGTTCTGCCCGCGGGTACATTACCCACCGGCCACTTGTACCTCGCGGGTGGGCGACGGGTGGACGCCTACTCGCCGTTCCGCCAGCGGGTACGTATACCAGCACAAAATAATTTCCTTCGGGGATTTTCAACTCCAAGCTCAAATACAAGTCCAAAACATGCCAAAACTCACCAAATACAACAAAATGAATTGAATCAAAGGAATAGCCAAGCAATGGCATAAAAGAACCCTAAACACAAGCTCTAGATATGCATTTTCACGAGACAATGCATAAACACTCACATTTCATAGCAAAATCACATGTACTATCCAATAAATCATTATATAGGTAAGCAAAATAGATTTTGTAGAGCATGGGTTACCTCTTGAAGACAAAAACCTTCACTTAACACTTCACCAAGCTCCTACTAAGGCTCACCTTCCAAACCCACTTCAAGAACACACCAAAAGATCATAAAGATTCTATCTTTAAGAAAAGACACCTAAGAAAACACTAAAAACACAAGATGAACATAGACCTTACCCTCCTAGATGCCCAAATGTATGAAAGGTAGAATCTTGGAGACAACTCTTGAAGATTTGACAAAGCTTCAACTTGGCTTGGAAGAAAAGCTATCTACCTTTTTAGAGAGAAGGTAGAGCTAGAATTTGGAAAGTGTAAGGAGAGAAATGAGGGTGTTCTACTAGGTTAGCATACAATACTAACACAAGGTGAAAAGTCAAGAATACCCTTACTAACATGAAGAGGTGTAAGGGAACAAGGGAACTCCTTACAAAGCTTAAGGTACAACCTTGACTTTGGGGTTGACTAGTCAATTACTAGTCCCCGACTATTGAATTTTCAGGATTTTTAGGAATTAAATTACCAATTGAAATAGGATTAATTACTTAATTAATCCCTTAATCGAATTCGGATTTCGGGGTGTCACCAAAGGAATGGACTAAAAGATAATAGACCTAGTCTAAACTATCAAAAGGGTCAGTCTAGAAGGATTAACCAAACGAGGGTAAATCCAAATGTCAATTAGAGGCAAAATCGTTCTGTGCATCAACGAACGAATCCTTTACAAAGGAATCAAAGAGATGAACGAAACAGACATGCCAAGAGGTCACTTAGAAGACCAATGATGGGCAACGGATGGAGTGGACCATCTGAAGAAGATTAGCTTGTTTATCCCAAACCCTTATCAAAAGCAAAGTTTGAAAAGATTCACAGGCATAAACAGACCAACTATTCTAAGCAGTATCGCAATCCACCAGATGCCTACTTTCAAAGTCGATACAAAGCCAAAAATTTTGCAAACATTTATTATGTTTATCGTGTATTTAATGGATACAAAGGACAAAGGATGAGTAATACCCACTCTAGGTTCACATGGATCCCAAAATTGTCTGCTAAACCTCAAGGACCCGAAACTGAAGGGGTACCTAAAAATGCATAATTTTTTATTGCAGGAAAAACAGGTCATCTGATATGTGGATAGTGGATGATCAAGACATATGACCGAGGACAAATCAAATTTGAGAAACTATAAAGAAGTTGATGGACCAAAATTTATATTTGGAGGAGAATCTAGTGGAAAAACTCGTGGAACTGGAGACATCATTAGAAACGGAATGATCATTCGGGATGTCTAACATGTTGAAGGATTGAAATTCAGTTTACTAAGCACCAGTCAATTTTGTGACAAAGGTTACAAAGTCGAGTTCTCCAAAGACGAATGTAAAGTGGTCAGCACTGGAGATGGTGACACAGTTCTCACAGCAAGACGAAAGAAAAACATGTATGTCGTCAATTGGGAACTCTCTAAAGCTAATGTTTGTCTTGTTGCTAAAAGAAATGCAGGTTTAAGTTGGGATTGGCACAACAAGATGAACCACCTTAATCTCAAAACCATCAACAAATTGGCGAAAAAAGATCTTGTAGAAGGCTTGCCAAAAATATCATATATCAAGGATAAAGTGTGTGATGCATGCCAGAGAGGAAAACAAATCAAAGCATCATTCAATTCCAAGTCTATTGATACAAACTCTCGACCATTAAGTCTTTTGCACATTGACTTATTTGGGCCAATTGATCCTGCTAGCTTAAGTGGACGAAAGTATTCACTAGTTGTAGTAGACGACTACACAAGATACACCTGGACGATGTTTCTAAGGAAGAAGAACGAAACTGAGAAAATGTTACCAGATTTGCTAAGACAACTTCAAAATGAGAAAGAAGTGAACATCATTAGAATAAGGTTAGATCAGCGAACAGAGTTCGTGAACATGGTTATCAAGGAATTTTGTGGACAGAATGACATTTTCCATCAACTTTCGGCAGCAAGAACACCACAACAAAATGGAGTAGCCGAAAGGAGGAACAGAACCTTGAAGGAAGCTGCACGAACTATGATAGCATACTCAGGATTACCAAAGCGCTTCCGGGCCGAAGCCGTCAATACTGCATGCTACACCCAAAATCGATCACTTATCAATCAAGCTCATGGACTCACTCCATCTGAATTATGGAAAGGCAAGAAACCTGTTGTTAGTTATTTTCACATCATTGGTTGCAGGTGTTTTATTCACAACAACGGACCGTGGTGATTGAGGAATCCATCCACGTCAAATTTGATGAAAGAAATTGAAAAGTCTCCATCCACGTTAAATTTCATGGGTTATTCTTCAGTAAGTTAAGCTTTCAGGGTTCTAAACAAAAGAACCATGGTGATTGAGGAATCCATCCACATCAAATTTGATGAAGGAACTGAAAAGTCTCCACAAAATGATGAAACTA